GGCCAAAGTTTACAACACTTAACTGAGCAAAGGCTTAAGTGTACAGGGAAAGCCCTCAAAATGGACCAGCAGCAGCAGGCTCAGCATGGGAAACACAGCTAGAGAACATATGGCCAGATAATGGAAGGGAGGCACAGGCGGTCCGGATTCCCCTTGCTGGAATGAGCCTGGTCAGTTGCTGGCCTGTGATCAGCTGAACTCCATCTGCTATGACTGGCCCTGACAGCTGCACATCTACTGTGTCAGGCTATTGGCTCAGTATCACTCACCCAGGCTGTAGTTAATTGCATAGGGGGAGGTGTGATGGCCACCCCAAATTTGGTTTGACGTCTTTTGGAAAACAGGTTTTAGCTGATGGATTCTCATTTTTTCCTTCACTATTTCTCCCTGACTTTTATGATTTGTTCACATTTCTCTTAATGTTATGTAGTCTTAAACCAATAACCTACTTCAAATAGGAGGAAAGGGTTGAGAATAAATGTACAGTTCCAGATAAATATTTAGTCCCAGTACCACATTTGGGGACACGACACTCTCTTTGTTGAAGTGTTCTGACAAAGTACAGGGTGTGTTCCAGTGTGAGCTTGTCCTCGTGTATGAAAACACTGTATTCACTCCTCATGAGCAAACAGCTTCAAGTGGGATTTGAGGAGAAATGATCTGCAGGATGGAGATTTAGGGAGCTGTCACAAACCTTTTCTGAATGCCACTGGGCCACTTGAGAAGTTCCAGTAGAGCTCCACTTCCTTAAAAGCATCTGTTATCATTTCTCCACTTTAGAAATTAGCTGCTGAGTTAATGTGGCATCTGCCTGAGGATTTACACTTCTCTGAAGGGAAACAGTGAGCATTGTGAAAGCCCTACTGGTAAACTGTATTCACACATCTATAAAGAAGTATGGGGCATGGAAAATACATTTGCAACTTTGTCATGGGTGGGTGCTGCATGATTTCACTGCTGATTTCTAGAGGTTGGGGTATGGACACAGGGCTCCTGTCAGCTGGACCTTTCTCAGGAGTGTACTCCGAGCACTGCTCCATCAGTGTGTACTCCGAGCACTCCTTCCTCCATCAGTGTGCTCTGAGCACTTCTTCCTTTAATAAGCTGGGGCTTCTGCACATTTTCTCACAGCATTGAGTTTGAGTCTGCTCACCAGCATTTTGCTGGGCAGAATCTGTCACCATTTCTTGAGGTGTAGGTTTTACTGTCAAAGGCAGTTATGGCTCCTGGGTACAGGCGCAGCGCGGATGGGCAATGGGAGCCTCAGGACAAGGCCTGCTGGATGAGCCCTGCCAGGATGAGCAACGTCTCCCCTGCAGGGCTCGCTCAGAGTGAGCACACTGTGTCCTTCTTGGCATATTCTGCACAACGCGACAGGATGAATGCTGGGCTCAACACTGGCATGCAGGGAATGGTTACCAGCAAGACGCTAAGTAAATAAAAACCTAACTGGCATCAGCAGGAGACTAAATATATAAAAACCTAACTGCTCCAGATGTTATTTTTGCAGCAGGACTGGTGGTTTGGTTTGCCCACCTCAGCAGGAGTTCCAGCAGGTTCTTCCGACATGTACTTAACTGTACCACGCGTATTTAGGGACACAGAGGTGAGCCTTCTAAACAACAGTATAAATTAAGTCTCAGCAAAATAAATATGAAGTTAAAGTAAATAATAGCAAATCTAACCCAGGCAAGACCAGAACCCAGACCAGGCGGGCTGGCAGGAAGCCCCTTCCAAGCACCCACAATTAACTTCCACGTCATATAAATGCATCTCTTATTTGTCATGATGTGGGTAAATCCTTAGCTGAGCAGACATGTGCGGTGGGAGGTCCAGCTGTGTGTGGCACCGTCTCCATGAGAGCCTATTGTACCTGGTCTTCAGGAAAACCCTCTGTGTCTGTCCCAGCAAGAGCCTTAGGCCTTCTCCAAGCTCAGAGTAAGAGCCAAGGGAAGAGGATAAGACCCCAACATAGGGTAAGTCCCCAAGTCTGGGCATCAGCCTCTACCAACACTCACTACTGCCCAGAACCTCCCTCACCCCTCTCCAGGCCATCCACCCTGGGCCCTGCTTCCTGCCTCCCTCAAGGCACAGTGCCTCTGAGACTCCTTCTGCTCTCCCATGCGGCCACCTCGAGGCCTTCCCTGCCCCTGGGCCTGCCCCCCGCCCACTGGGCTCACCCCTCAGAGCTGTCACATTGTACCTCGCAGGCTATTAGCTTTCCCAACAGGGCTGTAAATGTGACTTATGAAACAGTCACATGCACACACATATGGTTAGACACAGTTGTGATCACAGCCTGTGGACGAGGGTGGAGGACTTCACATACAAGCTAACCTGAGAGTGCACCTGAGAGACAGGTCTGTTCCATGTGCACATGAACAGGTGAAACGTCAGGCCACACACATCTTCCTGCCCAAGGCCAGAGGTCTACTCACTGTCCAGGGGCTCAGGATCCCATGGAGGCTGCAGTCAGCCTCCGCTGCCTCTAAGGGTGCTGCAACGAGCGCCACCCCATGGTGCTGTTACAGGAAGAGCACAGTACCTCCCAGGCGCAGCACTTCCCCCCCTCCCCCCCCACCCCCGTGCGGGAGAGGGGGATGGGACGGCCCGCCCACACGGGCGCCCATAGCTGGGAGCTCGGGGGATGGCCACAGGTACAGAGCCACACGTGCGCCCATAGCTGGGAGCTCGGGGGATGGCCACAGGTACGGAGCCACATGTGCGCCCATAGCTGGGAGCTCGGGGGATGGCCATGGTGAGGAGCCACACGTGCGCCCATAGCTGGGAGCTCGGGAAATGACAAGGGTGAGGAGCCACACGTGCGCCCATAGCTGGGAGCTCGGGAAATGACAAGGGTGAGGAGCCACACGGGCGCCCATAGCTGGGAGCTCAGGGGATGGCCAGGGGTGAGGAGCCACACGGGCACCCATAGCTGGGAGCTCGGGGGATGGCAAGGGTAAGGAGCCACATGTGCGCCCACGGCTTCTGAGCACTGCTCCCAGTCATCCCCACCGAGGACTGACTCCTGTGCCTCACCTTGCCCTGGCCAGCCCTGCTCCTGAATGCAGCTGGTTCCGAGAAGGCACTTGGGCCCTGGTGGACACCTGGCACCGCCCTCTCTGCAGTGACTTTCTATCCTCTCTAAGACTTAAGTATTGCCACAGTCCCTTGCACATCAGGTATGCTTTTATGTATCACTCCCCAAGTGATCCCAAGCTAAGCACTGGGAAACCTCATTGCTTGTCTTGGCTCAGCACAGAGTTGGAGCCTGGGGAGGGTATGATGGCATTCAGGGGCTTGAAGCCTTTACTGCAGCCGGAACCTGAGGCCTGACCAGCTTTGACAGTCAGAAGGCAGCTCAGCTCTGGCCGGATGAGGCACAAAGGCACTGTTATTACAGCATGTTTTTCTTGGTTCTCATTTTGGCTCTAAGCAACAATCACAGCAGAAGTTCTAAAATCAATAACGGCCCTTTCAAAAAACTTCTTTAAGAACCACGCTGGCTCAGCTTCTCTGCTCAGGAACACAGAGGCTTGTGTCCCCTCCCTAGCGGCTTCCTGTAACCCTGGTAAAAGCCTTCATTTCTTCTCACTCAAATGGCGGGTGCAAAGCCTGCACCACCCCAGCAGGGAGAAGACGAGGTAGAAGCAGGCGTTCAAGGACAGGGAAAGGAAAGCACTTCCTTCAGAGGCCTGGACTATGTCTTTCCCAACACAGATTGAACCACTAAAGCCATTTGTATTCTCCAATCATTCCCCAAACCAAAAGGCTCCCCATGAGACAGAACACCACGTCACAGGAAATATTCTCCACACAAGCCATCACTCTCCCTGTGGGGAGGAGCAGGTTCTGTGGCTCCCTACCTTCTGTAGAAAAAACCCCTTCCACTCCGGGGATGGCCAGGTGGATCAGCTAGAGGGTGGGGCCTGACACACTCCCCAGGGGATACCAGCCCTGAGGCTGTAAAAGCACGAGTTGGCAGATGGGACACCAAGCTAAAGATACTTCCAGCTGCTGACAACCCGAGACGGCCAAAGGTGGACGTCCTGTGCCCTGGCATCCCAGAACCACGGAGAGGCGAGGACTGTGTGATGGAGGAGAGAGGCGTCCTGGAACCTGCTCACACACTGTGCAGACACATCTACACACACACACACACAGACACACACACACACACACACACGAGGAGAGAGGCGTCCTGGAGCCTGCTCACACACTGTGCAGACACATCTACACACACACACACACACACCTGCAGCCCACTCCCAAAGCTGCCCAGACCACAGACCACACGAGCCTACAATTCTAAGGCCACGCGAGCCCTCCGTCCTCCTCATAGCTCTGATGAGGAGGAATCTACCAGGCCCTCACTACGTACCCATCCATGGGCTTGCCCATTTTTATCCCTCTGGGATCACAGCTCTGGTGTGGAGCTCACCGGCCCTCAGCTGGGACCGCTGTGCCCCTGTCCGTGGGCTTGCCCGTTTTCACCCGGACCATGACTTCCTGAGGGAGAACCGAGATCCAGCGCCAGGCCCACAGCACCCTTGCTTACCAATGAGGAGCCGAGGCTTGGCAGCTCCTGCTCAAAGGAAGTACCTGTGAGAAGAAGCACAGCCTTACCGTTAACAGCCACCATCAACTACTGACCCGGGCTGGGAAGACATTTTTCAGTCACCATCCCATTCTTGGGCAGCCGTTGGGGAGGCTGGAGGAAAGCATGAGTCCCCCGCTCAGGGCAGCAAGTCTCTGCCCACACTGGGAGGGACAGGAAGGGACAGGACCCTGGGCTGGGTCTTCAGTGTTATGGCAGATATCTGCTGACCCAGAGCACACACTGCCAGTGTCCCCAGAGTGCTATGGAAAACAGCGGGTAACATGCTGCTATGCCAACAGATGTGATTCTCAGGGTGCTGACGATTGTGCGCACATGTGCAGGCACACTCAGGGAGTGCAACTTCCACCCAGAAGTACAAGAATTAGAGTTACCCTACATGTGATGGCACTGCTTTCTTTTAATTGAGACAAGGACAAGCTGGTCCCGGGGGACATGACTGGCCTGTCCAAGTGGTCAGCTGATCAGCTCTTCCAACATTCTCGAGAGGTCTCTGAATCCACCTGACCCTGTCCTGAGTCCCACACGCCATGTGTCGCAGGGCCGTGGCCAAGGCACAGCAGACAGTCTCACTGGACATCATCGTCATCAAAGAGGTCTTCAAAATCTGCACACACAAAATTACACATTAGAGGGCACACAGGGGAAGTCACTGTGGAAACTACTCTGCAATGAGTTATGTGCTAGCGGAAAACATGCATCAGGGTTCCTAGATGAAGAAGGAACCTCCCCAGAGCAGACCCTTGGCTTCACCCAACCAGGGCTCACAGGTGTCAGAGCAGTTCATGAAGCCACTGCTGTCTCCACTGCTAAGTATTTATTCATAAGCCATTCCTGAAGACAAGCACCCAGGGGTGTTGTAGGCACAGGGACTCACGGGCACCTAGGCTCGCGCCTTAGATGTGGAAGCAACAGGGAGGTGGCAGAAGGATGGGACCAAAGATCAGCTGCCAAGGGAGCCGGGACCAGCACAGCTGGAAACTCAGCCGAGCCTCACTCCTGTCCTTCGGCTGGGCCAGCGGGCGTGGGAGCTGCCATACTGGGCAACCATGCCCTGGGAGCTGCCCCTCTGTTTACACCAACACACCTTCCCATTCAGGACTGGAAGAGAAAGAACCCGCACAGCCCTGTGGCCCGGGCCTGTGTGCACTGAGGACGTGCAGAAGCGTGTCCTCAGGCGTCAACACGGGGAGGGGGCTTCCTGCACGCAGCGTGCACTTCCAGAAGCAGAGCCGCAGCAGCAGCACATAGCTGGCCATGCAGAGATGCTGCTCATCATCTCACTGTGAGGGACTGCTGCTCGCGTTCCTCCTGCCTCCTCTCACCGTCCCCTGCCCAATCCTCCTCCCCAGTGAACCTCTTCACACCTGGACCTGGATCTCCTCCAGAGACGCCTCCTGTGAGGCGCCCCGCCCACCTGCTCTCCCATTACCATCCTGTTCCTGACTGCCACACTGCCTGCACCCTCCACTACGGTGAAAAACAGGAAAGAAGACAGTGAGGGACGGTTAGGGCTAGAGCCCACAGCCCACTAGGTCACAGCCCCCAAAGCCCACTAGTTTGGCCAAACAAAAGTTCCTGGAAAGCCCTGAAGACACTCATGAGGCCTCTCCTGGGGACAGGCTTCCTGAGCACTGGGGACAGTCTGTGGGCAGACTGAGCTCAGTGGGCAGACGGGCAAGAGCAGGGACAGAGGACTTCTGCGTCCTTCACTATCCAGCAGGGCTCACGGGAGAATTGTGCTGACTGGTAGTGTGGCTACGTGCTCACTGGACAGGTCATCCAGGTCTTGGGACTCCCTGCTAGATGCTCACTGGACAGGTCAGCCAGGTCTCGGGGCTCCCTGCTAGGTGCTCACTGGACAGGTCGGCCGGGTCTCGGGGCTGCTAGGTGCTCACTGGACAGGCCGGCCGGGTCTCGGGGCTCTCTGCTAGATGCTCACTGGACAGGTCAGCCAGGTCTCGGGGCTCCCTGCTAGGTGCTCACTGGACAGGTCGGCCGGGTCTCGGGGCTCCCTGCTAGGTGCTCACTGGACAGGTCAGCTGGGTCTCAGGGCTCCCTGCTAGATGCCCACTGGACAGGTCAGCCAGGTCTTGGGACTCCCTGCTAGGTGCTCACTGGACAGGTCAGGCCGGGTCTCGGGGCTCCCTGCTAGGTGCTCACTGGACAGGTCAGGCTGGGTCTTGGGGCTCCCTGCTAGATGCTCACTGGACAGGTCAGGCTGGGTCTCGGAGCTGCTAGGTGCTCACTGGACAGGTCAGGCTGGGTCTCGGGGCTCCCTGCTAGGTGCTCACTGGACGGGTCAGGCTGGGTCTCGGGGCTCCCTGCTAGGTGCTCACTGGACAGGTCAGGCTGGGTCTCGGGGCTCCCTGCTAGATGCTCACTGGACAGGTCAGGCTGGGTCTCGGGGCTGCTAGGTGCTCACTGGACAGGTCAGGCTGGGTCTCGGGACCCCTCTCATCACAGTGACAGGACTGTCTCTAGAAACCATGTGCAAGAACACGGAGCACAGCTGATCTCTGTAGTCTATGGGCTGGCAAAGGGCTCTGAAGAAGCCCATCAACATGCTTGGGCCAATGGAGCCAGCACAGCGGCCCGTTAAGGAAGCTCCCAAGGTGATCTGTAAGTGGTGGTCTCAAGAAGGCGCCTTAGGGAAACAGCCAGTGCCCTAAACCACAGATTCCCTCAGACAGAACTCAGAAAAAGGTCACTCAGTGCGAGCAAGGTCACACCCAGTTCTGACAGCAGCTGGAAGCAGCCAGGATGGTTCTGTCAGATCCCCAGAGAAGATGGAGACCTAGCAACAGTGTGCCAGACAAATCAGCCTGGGCTCAGGACTTCAGGGTTCTTGGTAAATTAGAAACCAATGTGACAGGGGCAAGTCATTAGTAAAGGAAGCTCTTTCTAGGGAAAACACCAACACAATTAAAAAAGAAAGAAAACAGAGAGAAACACTCCCTTCTGAGCAAGAAGCCTGTGTTACCTTCCCACTTGTTGAAACCCTACATGACTTAGTCACTGTAGAAACAAGCTTTCAAAAATCAGGAAAGCAGAAGAATATCATTAACCTATCTAGAAACTTCAGACAGTCAGTTTTCTCAATGTAACCTTCAAATACAAGATGGCAGTGCACCCTACAACCTGACTTCAGAGTCGGGGAAGGGAAGGGCTGAGGCATGATTGCTACTCTGCAAAGGCCGTTGAGGGCACAGGAATCCAGGTCAGTGAGTGAGTGAGTGAGTGAGTGCGGGCTGTGGGCCACGGGCTGGCAAAAGAAAGCAAAGGACAACCAGAAGCGCGTGGGGAGGAGAGCACCAGATGGAGCTACTTGCTCTACTCACGTCAGCCACTGGGAGGCTAGATGGGGAGCAACTGCATGCTGTTTTCCTCCTGAAAATATGTGCTAACCACCTGTACTAGCCAATGAGTTCTGCAGGCAGTGCTCCGGGCTGGGAGGACAGCCCAGGGCCAGGCCTTCCCTGTCCCCTGATCCAAATTATTCATGTCACAAAGCTGTCCCGTTGCATTAACTTGCAGAGGAAACTCTCAGGCTCAGCCTGGCCTGAGTCCCCGCCCCCTTACCATTGAAGAAGTCTGCGTGCACTGCCTTTTCATTGGCCGCCAAGTCCATCAGGAGCCCGGTGCTGCCCCCAGCCTAGGGAAGGAAAGGCAAGGTTATGCCAGTAGGGCTCTTCCTTCCAAGAGCAGGTGGAAGCTCATCACAGCATCCACCACCTTGATGGAACAGGAAGCCAGTGACAGGAAAAGTGCTCGGTCGGGAATCAAAGAAATGAGCATGAAGGAGGAACTCAAACAAACTCTTTTTAAGGTCTCTTGAGGTCTGGAGTTGCTTGATTCTCCCGTGCTTTTTAAAAAGAAACCTGTCATTGCCCTAATGTCACGCCCTTCTCGAAGTCTCCAGGCCCCTCCTGGACATCACCACAGAGGCTGACAGCAACACCGCATGAGCTGGGTGTCTGGACCTCTCCATGCTCCCCTTGGGAGGGGAGGGGTCCTGAGGGACCTGACACTGGCACAACTCTACACTAAAGGTAAAACCAGGCCACATCACAAGCAGGGTGACCTGAAGCACTCACGACTTTGTGCATTCTTTAGTCACCAGAGACAGTCCAGTCGAGGCTCTGGTGGCAGCTGGATGGACAGTGAGCTCTGTGGCTCCAAGGCTGCCCAGCCCCCCTCACTGGGTCTCCAGCTCTGCTGTGCTCCCTTTCCTGGCTGCCCCCTTCTCAGTTCCCACAGAGAGCCACGCAGGTTCTGCTCATATTGTGGATTGTGTCTCCTGGCTTCCACCTCCAAGTCTCCAATCTCCCTTTTCTACAACCTCCCACAATCCAGCCTCTAAGCCCTCAGGGGGAAACCAGGGTTTCCCTCCCAGCACCAGACTCCAGGGCTCCCCCTATCACCCACTGCGGGGGCCTTACAACAGGGCTGTGAAGCCTGGGTTCACTACAAGTGCCTCAGGAGTGAGGTCGGAGCCTACCAGGTTAGATTACTTCATGGCTGGACTCGTCTCTCAATCGTGTGGAACCTGAACAAGCACTCAGGGCTTCCTCAAGGTCACCAGCATCGCCTTCAGCGTTTGGCTGCAGGGGAGCTCCCCTGCGACGCGCTGGGCCTCCCAAAGCCCCGAGACACTGGTGCAGGACACCCCAGCTCTGTTACACTTGGCGTGTGCAACCTGCCTCTCCGCCCTACCAAGAGGTGCAGCAACTCTGTACCTAAGCTGTGAAAAGGCCCCCAAAGAGCCAGGCAGACAGACTCTCCCAGCTGGACTCGGGTGTCTTCGTGAGGGCCCACGAGTCTTTCTGTCACGGCACGAGACCCTTCCATCCTGTACTACAGACAGCAACTGCCAGACCCTCCTTCTTCCTTCTGGGAACCTTGCTCCGGGATGGGGTGGGGGCAGGACGCCCGAGCAGAACTATGGGCTTCGGGGGCGCCAGCTGACTCCCAGCTAGTCCCAGAGGGCCTAGGTGGCCGGCCTGAGACAAGGGGGCAGAAGGGGAGGAGGGGCACAGAGGAGGGGGGAGAAGGGGCACAGGGGAGGAGGAGGGG